TGGTGTCCCTTGTCAGGAAAGCCACTGTCCCTTCCCACCTTCACTCTCTGCTCCTGACTCATCTCTCCCTGACACCTAGAGCCTCTACTCTGTTTTTCCTTTCTCACCTTGCTATGGACTTGACTTTGCTCTGTGCTCCCAGTGCTGTGGAGTTTTCCTTGGGCACTGCTTGAGGCAGAACTCTCTTTTGTGTTTGCAGATGCAAATTCAAGTGTTACTTTCACCTAGGAGCAGGGTGTTTATAATTGTTTCGGTTTTACTTGCGTGTAGCTGTCTCAGTGCATCCCAAAACAGACATATGGAGAAATTGCTCTCCCATGGTTATCAGAGTAACACCCTTCTCTCGGGGTCTGGTGTCCAAGAAGTCCAAAGGGCTGATCTTCTAGTTGGTGACAGTTGTTATGAGGAAGCTTCACTTTCCCGAATCCATGAAACTCAGCAGTGTTTTTAATGGTAGGTGGCTAGTGAATGAGGATCTGGACCCAGCCCTTCTCTGCCTCAATCTGGGGGCCATAATTTGGAAGGCTTTTTTTAACCTTCTGTCTAGTCTCTTACCTAAAGCATTTTAGCTCCACTCAGGTTCAGTTTCAGCTCCTACAGGAGAACAGCTATGGGAATTACCTCCTTCCAGCCCCCTTGCATTTAAGTCACCTGTGGCTTGGGCTATCTCCTGAGATAGGACAAGTGACTGTCGCACCTCTTGGGCCGAGAAGGGACCTGGAACTATACATTGCCTAAACATGTGCTCCAGCATTATGGCTATTACGTGCACTACAATTGCCACTGTCTATTGAAAAACAGTGATTTTGTTAAAGGTATGCATTTGGTGGGTGTTAGGCAGGTGTGAAAATACACGTCAGATCAAACCTTCTGAAGTGCTCGGACAATTCTTTCCCTGGGTCTCATTAGGCTTAAGCAAGAACTCTAGTCTAGGTGGGATGGGCAGTGCAGCTCATGGCATGTACAGACCCTCAGGGGCCCAGGAAACTTGAACATCTCTTGGGCTGCAGCTTGGGACTTGGGCATCTAGACCTTTTTCTTGGGATAGTTTGCAGAGCTCCTTTCTAGGCCTATTTGCCATGGTCAGACTATCTTGTAAAGGCACAGAGTTTCCCCTATATGGCAGTGTCATTTCAAAAGGCACGGGTTTAAATCACCAATTTTCATCACTTAAGTACTTCTGTAACATCCAGATGTCCTTACCTTTTTCTGATGCATAACCTACAGAGGCATTTACATCACCTCCATGATTAAACCCATTAATGTGTTTAATAGCACTGGATGGGCTATAAACACAGTTGCACTAACACTCAGGTATTTCCCTGAGTGTTAGAGACCACCAGATGGCTATCTCTGCCAAACTCTTTTGATACATGCTGAATTGGGTTTTTGCTGGCTGAGTTCCTGAGATTCAATACTACTTCTTGCTCCTGGCTAGCAGCTCCTTAAAATTAGGAACATCCTTATCATCCACTTCCACAGCCAAGTTAAGTTGAACGGGTCTATTCTTCTGTTTTCAACAAAAGAAAGATGTTGTTTTCAATAATGTCCACTTTGAACTCACTGATGCTGTTCCCAACTTGCAAGCTGTTTTACATGGCATGATGCATTGTCCATGCAGAACGACATGCAAATCTTTGTCTTGCTTCAAAAAAAACCCAACCTAAACCAATCTTTCAAAGGCACTTAGAAATTGTGTTTAAGGGTTACAGTTTTCAAGTAGAAATCTCCAGCCAGACCTGGATGGCTAAAGCCAAGCCTCAAGTAAGTTGAGAGAAAACAGAATCGCAAGGTATCATGCAAATGATGAGTGTGGACCCATCATCCCGCCTCAGTAACTTCAGAAAGGATGTGCTGAAGGATCGGTTTTATTCAAAAGCCCTGCTCACAAACTCCATACCGAGCTTATTTATGTCACTAAGTGTTTTGTACTAGAGGGCCAAACCCTTCGTTCCAACCTTAAACCACAATAAATTCATACATGCTGTAGTCTTTTCCTTCCAGGCTTTTACTTCCCAGATGCAACTGTATGCTCAGGTAAGAATAATCATGGAGAAGTCTTTGCTTTCAGTTCCTGTCTTACCCCTGAAACGGCACTAGTTATAGAAGGATGACTTGGATGCACCAGCACAACTGACTTACCGTGTCCTTTTAGAGATGCAGAATATTCAACTTGTATTACAACTATTCACCTTAAAAATACTCTAAGGGCCAAATCACCCAAGGTGTTAGGTACCTGGAAATCATATGCAGTATCCCCAGTAAGAAGTGTGTTATAGTACAACTGCAAAGGCATTTGAGTTGAGTTATAAAGACAAAAGCACACAGCAGAGTTTATGTGAATGATACTTGTATCTTTTTATTATTTTTTTTTTTTCCCCCAGAAGTCCTGAGGACAGGAATAGAAAAGTTCCAGTAGAAATGTCACACAGATAGTTTAGCAACCAAGATGTCTGAAGAGCTGGTGAGCTCGGAGTGCTCAAATTTGTAAGGTGCTGTAAGTAAAGTGACACATACAGACATGTGATGTATCTAAAAAGTAGCTTAGTTTATTTTTAACTTAAAAGGATTTCTATTTAATGAAGGTATGCTGGATCTTTGGAGATAGATGCCTTTTAAAAAAAATCTTCCTCCAGCAGAGCTACAGATATAAACCCAGGAAAAGGAGAAAGCTCCCCCAAATCCTCTGAATTATGTCTGACCAGGTCTAATGAGAACGCTTATGTGGCAAAATTCAAGACCCATTGTATGCATATATGCTGAGTTGCCCTTGTAGAGAAATAATTTGATTAAATGAGGCAATTTTCTCAAACACTGGATGAGGGGAAGATGCATGCTGGTAAGAGGCTAGGCTAGCATAAAGGCAGTGCTAGAGAGGATGTGTTTAACACATTCTCCTATGAAGAGTCAGCAGTCTTTCTTGCTTCAAGGCAAAAAGAGGAAGGAAAAAATTCATATCCAACTAGATATATTCCCCACCTGACAAGAAAAGTTCTTGCAACAAAACCAGAGGGAAGGGGAGGTGGAAAGTAGAAGATCTTAAAAAAAGGTCATCACTAACCTGTCCCAAAGCCCATGCTTCTCTCTCCAAGCTAGCCAGTTCCAAGTCACTTGCCAGGAAACCTTAATTCTGCAAACCCTCTTTCTGCATAAAAAGAGGCACTCTAGAAAAACACCTTTTTCAGTGCATGTGTGTTTTCAATAAAGAAAGGGGCAGAGCATACCAATCACGCAATAGGATCAGGTTTAACCAGTGGACCAGACACTCAGGTCCAGATAGGAAGTTTCAGCAGATAATTCTAGAACTGATGTGACTGAGTAGCATCATAATGCATAACTTGCTAAGCACACTTTTTTTTCTCACAGCCTTCTACCATTTTGCTTTCCAGTCTCAGTCCTCGGGCTTTTTTTTTTTTTATTACACTAAAGGCCCAAAATGGGGACCCTATGGGTTGAAGTACACTTACTGCTTGCTGGAAACCTCCTAGTCCACAGCAAAGAGGGGTTAAGAGCAACTGCACAATATAAATTAATCCTCCTTTTTACGGGAAGGAGAGAAACCATGCCTTATAAATGAACATCTTCAGTCTGTGCAAGCTCAAGAACCTCTGGAATAGTGGCACCGTGACCCCTGTGGCTCTTTTGAATGTTAATCTCCAAGATCAAACAGTTTCACTTAGAGTGTTCTGGGATCCCAGCATCCAATGATCTATATTGCACTCAAATATGCAAGGTTTTGCTATTGTTTTTGTTTGTTTTCTTTTGTTTGTGTCTTTATCTTTGCTAAGAAATAAAATCAGTTTGGCAGTTGATTCAACGGACCTGGTGATGAACTTGGTTTGTTCTTGTCTACCTTTTCACTTGAAGCCTTCACTGCCAAGGTAGCTAGACTGATGATCTGAGTGGCTTCGCTTTCTAGTGCAGCAGATACCTTTAGAAATTTTTGCTTTCAGTTGGCTATTTATTATTTTATTTCTGGTAGTTGAGAAGTACATCTTCCAAATACCTTTGTTGAAGAGGGAAAAAGTCTTCCAAACTGCAGAGCTCTGCAAGATAAACTATCGAGACTCTGCATTAATTGTTTTCTAAGCAGTACTCATGCAAGTCAAAAGGTATTTGGCAGAGCTGTAAATTAGCTTTTGTCCGAGGTGGTCAGAAGTCACACTAAGGAGTTTACATTTTTTCTCTTTTTTTTTTTTTTTAATTCTTAAAGAGTCTCTTGATGTATTAGGAAACACGTCCAACAGGTGAGTGGCTAAGCCAATGCTGTAGAGAATCCATGTTAATTTGTACTCTGTATTTTATTGAAGACTTCTGCAGTTCACTTTGAATTTTTTTCAAACACTCCACCCTTCTCAATATTCTGGATTTCCTTCACTCATAAAGCTGTACGAAACCCTGCAAGAGCACAACTGGTCAATGTTTGGATCACTCTGCTTAAGTAATCAATTGATTTGGATTTTTTTTTTTCTTTAGTACATGCACAAGAGGTCTTTAGAGGTACTGCAGGAGCCAGTGTGCTGCTTGCTGTGGGATGCTTTCTAGAATAGCAGGCTGAGTGACTACTCTGTGCACTGCCATCTTTCCATCTCTGGGAGATATCTAATTGCTTCTGCAGCATCTTTTTTCTGAAGGCATGAAAGTGGAGGCAAATTACAACACATATATTGGCAAACAAGGTATAAGTTACATGAGTCCCTTAGGAAGGAAAGAAAACCAAACCCTAAACACGCTACTCAGTATGTACAAGTCATAAAACATGGTCTATTTCATGTAAATTTCAAATAATTATCAACTTACTTCATGTATTTCATTCTATATCACCACATCTTTGTCAAAAATTGTGTTCATTATCAAATAAGAAATTAAAAAAACTTATAAAATTACCCCAGTAAAAGTGTACCCAGCACAGTATTTTAGTGCAAATATGAAGGTCTGGGATAAAGGTTTTGTGTAGTTGCACTCCTGTTAATCATCTTTGCCCTTCATTTTATTACAATTTAATTCAGTGCATAATTAAACTGGTTGGCAAACTTCTCGTGCTTTCTTTGGTCCACTCGGTTCATTGCTTTCACCACCCGTTTCATAGCACCTCTGAAAGACAAAAAAAATAAATAAAACCCAGTTATGTTAACTCCACACAATCTCAGACAATGTTTATGAATGTTGGGGGGCAGGGAACGAACTATGATTAATCACTACCAGGTTTCTGAACACTGCACTGAGGCTGAACAAATTTGTCTTGTTAACTACATTAGCTGCAGCAATACCAATAGTTTAATTCAGTTTTATTAACAGGAGTAAACAAACTAAAGTCTTTCAGCCTAATGGCTGTGCTTTCCACCCTCCTAGCATTCTTTCCGATAGTCACACATACCAAGTTTGATTTTCAAAAGCACCTAACTGCTCTTAGTGAAAAAATAACTAAAAGCAGGTAAGAGGATACAAAAACTTCACATTCAGAAACCCTTACAAAATCCAGCCTGCAGAATCTAGAATGTTTTTGTAAGGGAAGGGCTTGCTTTTCAATTCACGTAACAATTAACTTATTTAGCAACTTTCCTTTCACAGGTTCCTAAAAACCAATTTCATCAGCTGTGGGCAGAATAAAACTCTCTTTTACTCACATCAGCAGTATGTCAGTTCCTGAGCAGCAATTATTTAATCCACAAGCAGAACAAGAGTTAGGAAAACACCAGACACTGTCATGCATCTCTATGCAGAGGGATAAATTACTGCTCCAGAACAGCTAAGCGCTTAGAGTTCAGTGTAGTCAGGACAGTCTGTCCAATATCTTACTCTTCTGTAAAGTGGATTGGGATCTCTGCTACCTCATGCTGGGCAAGCGTTCCAGCCCTCTGTAGTGCCTGCTGTGCTTGAGGAAGGCTCTGGAGTGTTCTTCAGATTCAAAAAGGAAATAAAGGAATGAACTTTGGAGCTCTTAAGCTTTCTGGTGCCCATAAATCTGATGAGGGTTTGCCCCCATGTTGCTGCTCTTTATTTGCTGCCACTGTTTCCTCCCAGTAAAAATGGTTCCTAGGGATTTATCTTCTTTGGGAGAGACTGCTATGCTTTTCAACTGGGTGAGTGAAAACACCTGCACTTTTCTTCCCTCCACAAACTCTTGAGTGAAGATTAGGCAGCTGAGATTGAGGGTGAGGAAAATGATGCCTACACAGCATGAATAGGAGCAGGAGATTCTCATAAAAGGCATAAAGGAGGCATAAGCCTGCTCACTCTAAGTGGGAAGGCAGAGCAAGGGGTTCATGATTGCAGAGGGGAAAGAAAGGCGGTAGCAGAAATCAAGAGAATGCTCTGTTGCGTACATGTGCCCCCACAGAAATTTATGGTAGGTGCTGTGCGCAGCTGAGTTATTGGTTACTTTGGGTGCCTCTAGCCCAAAATCTCTGAGATGAGCTGATATATGCAGGTGTGTTAAGATGTCTCCTAACAATTCTCTGTAAAGGCCTGGATGCTCTGCCAACATGGGAAGTATACCAGCTAAGGGATGGGTTTGAGGGAACACGTCCCATTTAAGAACATGGCACTGCTTGAGGTCTTCTTTCATTTCTACATCAGAAATGCAGTCAGCAAGTTCTATCACACAAAGTAGATGGTTTCAAGTCTAGTGCTATCTGTTAGATCCTGCATTGTCACAATCTGCCTTTCTCTATCACTTCTGAGGATGCTGCAGGCTGTGCAGTGAATTGAGAACAAGGCATCCACCTGGTAGTGGGCACCAGCCTTTTGCCCATCAGGGCCTACACGCTATTCCAGCTCTGCTCCTGTGGTTATCTCTGAGAGGCAAGTTGACTTCTGTTATAGCTAACTGCTCTCTGTAACGGCTTCATTTCAAAAGCCATTTTGAAACATCTGAAAACAGAGGATACTTCTTAATAATGCTTCTAAATGGTGGGATTAAAGATTTTCTCAGCGGCAATTGTAATGAAAGCCAACATTCTGAAAAAACCCACCGTGGAAGAGGTGTATTTTTAACAAAATTCTGCCAATAAAGTTACCAGAGTAAGGAAAATGTGGTCATGGTTTTGCACTTCAAATATTGCCTAATTGGTAGGAGAAAAGTGAGCCTTTAGCAGCGCAGAGTGGCCTTGACACTTTCATGTCATGTAGGTTTTACATTAGCACCACTGGATTGTGCGATACTGTAAATGAAATGAGATCCCACTTTGATGATCTGTGTGCAATTTCACTTAACTTTATTGGCAGACTAGAGCCTGGGTTTATCACCTATACATTTCAAGTAATTTGGGGTTGTTATAAGGAGCCAAGGTTATCATCTTGTTTAGTGCTGCAAAGCATGAAACCTATTAAAACATGACAGGTTTGATTCCCTATGCCTGGCCCTAACACACACTCAAAATCATTAGCACAAACCCTAGTAAACCAAAGACAGCTTTTAAAATTTATTTTGTTAAAGTTGATATGAAATTCTGATCTTTAGAACCGTATGTCTCTGGCTTTTAACTAAGATCAGGTAACATGATAATTTCACAGAAAACGTGCTATTTCTGTAACCGAAAGCAATGTAGATTTGGCTTTGTTATTATAACCATTACACAAGAAAAGGGAAAACAGTTCAAACAAATATTGTGCCTTGGATGCTGTTCAACTCATCCAGTATGTTTAGATAATAATCCAGCGTTGATGACTTCATAATAATAATTTAGCTTTTTTGATTTGACAACTTTACACTTTTCACTTTCCTTTGACCACTTCATTTTTGACAGGTGAAACTCTGTAATTACCGGCAGCTGCTTCCTATTTGATAAAGACTAGAGCATGCTTAGGCAAATTGATGTTGCAGCCACATCTAACCGAGACTAGATATCAGAAATGACATAACAGAGTGGATGTATGGAGCTACTAGACGTTCTAAAACCCGTTCAGCTGGTGGGCTCCCACTTCCATCTGAGCTAGTGTGCCTGCTTTAAAGTTAACTCATGTATGTCTACAAAAGTCGTGGACACACCTTTGAAATATCTAAATGCCAACGCCATCCAAACAGTTTCTCCTTGAGCTAAAGGTAGGCCAAGAGCTACTGACTGTACATGTGTGGGGAAGAAAGGGAGACATATAGAAACAGCACCATCATGGGAAGAACACTGTGTCCACATCTCTGGTTCAGGGAATAATCATCTCTCAACTCTTACAATGAGGAGAGACCTGCCGCAGGTTCCAGTCCTTGATATTTACAAAAGACAGCAAGGGTTAAGCGAACAAGGACCATAACACAAGGATCCAAATGATTTTTCTTAACCAACTGAATGCATTCTCGGTAAAGGAGGAGAAAAAAATGCATTGGCAGTGTGTCACTGAACATTAGACAGGAAGGGATCACTGTGTGTACATACTGGCTTGGAAGGCGCTGCATCAGGCCCAGCTAGCAATTTACTATACCCAAGAGTGAGAGAAAATACACAGGAAGCCCAGGCAGCAGTCAAAAGTTTAGGAAGGTCTCTGAGCATTCACCAGAGGCTTGAGGGCAACTGCCAAGATGCAGCTACACACCAAAAGCCAAGTGGTTTTGACAGACCCTTTTATTAATTGAAGTTAATTAGGGGATCCCACTCAGGACAGCCCATCTTAGGCATTCAGAAAGAAAAACTCCATTTTCACTTCATCTACACTACTACAGTGTGTCTGATGCTGTAAGCTGTGTCACTCTGAACATATCATCTTCTTTACAGATCCATTATTATTTGCACACATAAAGTAGCATCTAACTCATTAATAAATGATCATCCAGAGAAGCCACTACAGCAGTAAAAGGATGACAAAAAAACCCCAAAAACAACCAAACGAGGAGGAAAACCAAAATATCTTTCATAGGGAAATTTTTAGCTGAAAATCATTCTGAGAGAAATAACCTTGATTATCAGTACCTGCTACTCTTTACCCTCCAGAGATATGGAAGGCATTCTTACTCTGCAGTTAGAGAAGAAAGTTGTTTAGTAAGTGCATGTTAATGTAGAAACAGAAAGTACCACTGAAACAAAGGGAAACAGCAATTTATCAGGCTTCAGAGAACATAAGCATCTTACTTATTAAAGACTTTCTTCTCAAGCCGGGAACGAGAAGTATTAGCCTGCTGCTTCAGGTCTGTCAGATTTGGATATTTTTTCTTCTTCCCTTTCTTTTTCCCTCCTTTTCCATTATTTTTAGAGGAACCAAGATCCATTCCTGTAGCTGCTTCAAGTTCTCTCATGAATTCCGGATCTCGCCACTCTGTTTAAAAGAAAAAGCACACACTTTGAAACTCCAAACCCAGGTAGAATTTGCAGTCTCCTAAGGTACAGGTTCTTGTCACCGCTAGGCGAAGGCAGTCACTGCGCTGTAAGTTGCATACACAAAGGAAGGGGAGGATAGAGCAGTTAGCCAAAATGACAGATCTTGATGAAAAAGCCCTGCCAGTCTGGGATTAGTATCTATTATTAGCTGCTGTAGATAAAACTGTTCTGTAGGAAGACTTAAGTCAAGTTTTTGCAGTGGTACAGTAGCAAAATTCCAAGGAAGTTATTCCATGTAGGAGAGTTGACAGAAAATGGAGTGATTATTATTTAGAAATTGAACAAAATGCCAACAAGGTAGCTGAGGAACTTATCATCTCCAAAAATAAATTCTGAATAAGCTTAAAAATAAACTGATGGAATATGTCAACTTTCGAGCAGAGTGAGAGTGACAACATTGTAACATTTCTGCATCAAAGAATCATATTTGCTTCAAAACACGCAACTGGTATCTGACACATAAAAAGCATTCCTGAATAAGACAACATGAACCTGTTGCCATGAGCCCAATTTTGCATCTGAAAAAGATACTACTATTGAAGTACCCCACAATTCAACAGTTTAACTATCTAAATCAAGTTTCTTCTCTTGACAATAGCACAAGAGTTAATTTATCTCATCAAAAAACTTGTTTTACAGTTTTAACAAAACCTGAATTCTTCCGAATCCAACCACACACTGTAAATGGTTTCTGATCATCAATGCCATCATGGGAAAAAGCACGAACAATTTAGACTGTAAACTCTTTGAGGAAACAGTGGTCTTTCACCTTTAGTATAGAGTCTTGCATATCAGAACAAGGTAATAGAGTACGAAGCAGAAAGTAAAAATGTGGCTAGAGGATGGATATCTTCAAGTGGAAATTAGAAAAAACAGCATTGCATTATAAAGATTTTGAGCATATTGGTTGGAAAAAAAATGCAGCAAGTACCACTTCAGAGAGTAATATGGTCCAAACTCAGCACAAATGTCAGTATTCTGTACTTTAACAACTAGTAATTGCCAACCATTTGAACCATTTGTCATACAGTTTCTGGTATGTCAGTCAGCCTTTATTGCCTGCAGAAATTTTAACACCAAATGTCTACAACCCTTATTTAACATCTATGTAGATAAGAAAAATAAACAGTTCTAAACTACTATACAATTTCACTTATATACCAAGATTGCCACTGAGAGTGACAAATATTGGTAACAACGTTTCAGGAAGGTCAGAGGCAATGTCCTCACTTAAGAGCACAGTGTTTAGGAACACCGGAGCAATTTTCCAAGGAAGGGTTAGATCTAACCTGCTATATGAAAGCAAGGACTGATTAAAATCCAACACACCAAAAAGCATGAGGAAAATGAAGCTGTGCAAGAACTGAGTAGAAGTATATAGAGAGAAAATAGAACACATATACTTGATAGAGCATAAGACCTCACAGACTTCTTTTTTTAAGTGAAGGAATACAGAACAGCACAATTCAGATACAGGAACGATTAATCCAAGATTAAGGAAAACTGTCTAAACAGTTTATCTCCCGGTAATAAGAAGGCGTCACAGTTTAGGAACTCAGTGAATGGAGCAATTGTTTAAACACAACGAAAAAATGCCGGCATCCAGTAGAGATGAAATGAGCATTTGAGTAAAATGAAGGAGCAATTTAAAAGCCTTTGAGAAAAATCAATAGAATGCCAGGGAAGAGCAGCCTTTTTGAGCATTGATGGGCCCCTAAAGCTCTTCATACATTGTTACTGAGTTTAGCAGCAGGGAAAAGAAAATTACACAGTTTGCAATGGTAGGCGGGAATCAATACTGTAGTTAGTCGAGAGATGCTATTTCACATCTGACTGGCCAGCAGCCTGCCTTCACCAGCCTGTCCTGATACCTGTTTGTTAACAAGTCACTAAGGGCTGAAAAACCAGATACTCTTCAAGGTTGACACAAAAAATAGGCACTTAATTTGCTCCTATGTGTGAACTATTGGAAAAGGATGAACACTGCAGATTAGCAGGTCAGCGTAATCCCACCTGATTCATTGTTTCAGGACCAAAGAGCCCAAAGCACCATTTTGTGGACATTAGATAGAGCTTAAAATTTTATACCAAGTTAAAAAATGCTCCATAAGAACAATGACAGTGTTGTCAAATCATAGTCATTATCACACAAACTGTATTACTTTTTTCCCCTTCACACACAGGGATGAAAATAAACCTACCATCCAACAGGAAAAAGCTGTAGGAAGAATTTTGGTGTGATTTAAACACGCAACTGATCCCTAAATTTTAATGTTTGGCATTTTTCAAACTGTCATCATTAGCAAATGATGTTGTCACTCATAAGACCAAAGCACACACTGTACAGAGTGGGTCCCCACTTGCATATTTTCTGGAGCAGCACTGCTCAGATGTACTTCAAGTCCTTTGTAAAAACAAACAAACAAAAAACCCAAAACAAACCAAAACCAAACCCCAGTGCAAAACAACCAAACACCCTCCCCTCCCAAACTACAAGCCCCAAATAAACAAATTAAGGAGCATTTTAAAAGGTTGATGAAAATACTATGAAACAAATATAAAAATACTGAGGCACAGAAAAAAAGAAAGGAAGAAAAAGCAGTGGATAAAAGTATTTAGTGACATCTGGTACACATATGGCTTTAGAAACCTGTGAGGTTTTGTCCAATAAATTAAGTGCCATAGTTTGTTCAGTACCTCCCCAGACAGATGGGATGGACCTTTGTATGACATCTCAGCTTAACAACAGTACTCAATAACACAACGCAACAATGTCAACACTGGTTTGGGACTAATACACACATCCCTGTGGGCCAGAGGTGCGAAGCCTCTAACACCACCGCACTGACACTGTAATAAAAATAAGTATTATGTCCAGCCTCCAGCAATGGCAATTTCACAGGGGAAAAAAAAAAAATAAAATCAATATTTTTCAGTGCAAGTGATTTTTATACCAGAGTATTAATTTTTAGCTTGAAACAAGTCCCTCAAGAACACCTGCTAGTTTAATTTGATAGTTTTTGTTTGTCATAACTAAGCTGGGAACTTTCTTTTTTAGCACAATGTCCACACCCCTGGCCTGGCTTCGCTGTGACAGTCCAACCGTGCCCATGCTGTAGGCTGGATGCCAGTTTAGAGCACTTCGCTCCACCTTGGCAAAGATGGAAACTGCCTCCAAACGCAGCACTTCTTGACACATGCAGACACCAGAAGGTGTTCAGTAACTGCTGCATTCATGTGGTGCTGGTAATTGCCAAGCACAGTCACTCAAAGATGGCCAAATCAGAACTAAAGGAAAGTGAGTGGGTCAGTTTTATGTTTAAATGCTCATTCATTCGAGATAGACCTTTCTGGATAACAGATCAACAACTGTTCTTTATGCTCTGAAGGGGTTTTGTGGAAGGTTCAGTAGCCTCATTAATAATCTGAATGACTGTGAAACTGGTGAAATACTGAGTCAGAGCTTAAGACAGAACTAACTCCTTAAAGGGAGTATACTACGAGATATCAAAATGATAAAGCCTAGGGGTAAGTTTAATTAGAATGCAGAATACTCACCTAGAATAAATGACTTAGAGAAAACTAAGACCTTTTGAAGGAGGGCAGATTAAATAAAAGCTCTGAAAACAAATCTGCTCCCTCCAATTATACACTATGTCTTTGCTGGATAGATCCCTCTTTCCCATCTTCCTTCGCAGTCCATCAACTTCCAGTAGCTTCCTGGTTGCAGTTCCCCCAGTGCTCCATGAAAATCTACCTTCTGTCCATCGCTAATGAGGCCTAGTTTTACCATTGCAAAAAAAGTGTCTTATTCCTCTTGGAAGTCTTCCTGACAGTCTATTAATTGCTTGCTGTCTTTCTCAGTGTCTGCATTCCTTACCTGGCACTCTGGAGCTTTATCCTGGCTAAAAATGGCCATATAATCTTGGGGTAGGATAAGTCTTCCCTCCACACCTGAAAGCAGCAGCCAGGATGCAAGGAGGAGGCTGTTAGTTTTGTTGCCCATCCCCATTGTTTAAAAACAAAATCCAGAGTATTGAACAGTAACATGTAAACAATTAAATAGCATCGGTCTGCTTGCTCCCTTCTTCAAGCCCATCACAAACATCATGCCTATTAGAACATCCAGACTAGTTATAATGCCAATAAAGTAAAGCCCAAGGTGAAGGGTTCCCTAGTTCAGAGTATTTTCTAGCGATGCTGCACAGATACACAGCATAACAAGGCCAAGAATTCTCCTTCTAAAACACAATTAGTAAGTGAGTAGATAAAGGAAAGATAGAATATGATAAATATGAATAGATACAGGGAAGAAAAGTTCCCGCATTGTGACAATAAAACCACTCTGCCAATATCCGTGGTAACACAGTGATCCTAATAATATTATCATTACATTACATAAATGACAACTGTTGGTGACCATCAAGATTAGACGACTTCTTTTCGAAAGCATAGGAACAGTTAATGTCAAGCATTTCCCAGGAAATAGGTTTAATCGTCCTTAATAAACATGTTCCTTAAGATAAAGTCTATAACTTGTCTATCTGAGCAGTGTTAGGAACATTATGATAACTATTGGAAGTAGAGAACAAATGCAATGTTACCCTTATTCTGTGTACACATGTATCCATATTTACCACATAAGCAAGAATCACTTCAAACGATCTGCAAATTAAAATCAATAGGAATTTAAATGAGAGAATGTGGTTAGGAGCAAAACAGAATTATGATCCAGTTCTGTGGATCCCAACCTGTGCTTTTAGCAACAGAAGAATCCGCTCTCTTCCTCCATGTAGCTGGTCACATTTGCTCTCCAACTGTATACCGAGATTGTTGTCCAACTTGTATCTACACTGTATCTATATACAGATACAATATATTGCACATGCAAGATATAAAATATATAGATACAATGTAGATACAATAGATACAGTTATTGTATAGATTGTAAATATATTGTAAATAATGTATACAATATATCCACAAACATATACACAATAAAGATACTACGCTTATGTTTAAAGCTTATTTCCCACCTCTGCCTAATTCTTTTTTTTTTTTTTTTAAAGATGCCATGCAGACACAAACCTGGTTGAGCCTCTTGCTTCTCAAACCGCACCTTTTCTTCTCTGGCTCTGTCCTCTGCATTAACGGGAACCCCAGATTCATCCCGAGGAATTATCTTTCCGTGGAACGGGCACTTCAGAAAGAAAGGGGGGAAAAAAAAAAATCTCAAAACTTCTGAATTGAAAGAAAATGCTTACATGTTATTCAACATAGCTTACAGCCACACACTGGAATCAAGCAACAAAATTCTACACTTAATTTCCAGCCCCCCTTAGAAAGCATTAGGATCCCATAAACATCATGTGTTTAACATATTTAGAATCTCAAAGAAATAAACTCTTTGTGATACGAGCATCCGATTTCAAGAGGTCAAGTAACACATTCTGTCAAGTCTGGAACAAGGGCACAAATGCTGCATTGTATGTTGTTGTTTACGCTATATCTCTGTCCTGTAAAAATCCCATTTAAAGTACTTTAGTGCATTCAGATCCTTCAGCATCAGGTAATACAGAAAGAACAGGGATATTAGAAGAAAGCATTTAAGCAAAGTACTTCTGCTCAATAGGGCTCATAATTTGAGGCGGTGTAGGATTTAGCTTTCACAAAACCTAATTTGTAAATAAAATCTCTTTGCCCCTCAAACACCCAAGTTTCTAAAAACAATTAATATCAAATATGCCTCTAAATGAGGAAAACTTTTTGGCAACCAACCCACTGTCACAGCTTTACTGCCAAGTACTCATATATCACAGTGATAAATAAAATATAAATACCCATGATGAATGCAAAAAATATTTGTGAGTTCCTTAAATGTTTATAGAAACCTTACCAAAAGGATGCTGCCCATATGAAGCATATATTAACAGCAAACTTCTCCAGATACAATTTTCTTCCACTGCCTTGAGATATATTTATAATGTGAAATAAACTTTTATGTATCTGTTTTAATGAGATATTCTCCATATAGCACATATCCTGGAAGTTATGTAACTTAGTGCCCACCTTAATCCGATCTTGTCTTTCACACAGACTTCCATCAGGCATTGGTGCTCGACATCTATGTTTCACTGGTTCAAACTTGCCAGCAAATGTTATGTATCTAGTTTTTAACATTTCAGTTATTTCTTTATTTTCCACTTCTTCCTCTACTTCACTGGGTGCCCAAAATCGATGCTCAGAAGCAAACCTGGGAAAACAAGAAATGAAAATTCTTCACAAAGTTGTAAGAAAGCACATAAAGATGCCAGTATAATCCTCTGGTAAACTTATATGTAAAAGGAAGGGAAGCTTTACTGGTGAATTAGAAAAACCTAGGAATCTACTATTCTTTCTTATAACTCCTATATTATGAAGATGTTTTTAAAATACCACCAACACGGGCCCAGTATTGATTCCTTATTTAACCTATAACGAGTCTTTGCTCTAGTTCATGAACTGACATTCAGAGTCAGTTATCCAATATCCAGTTTCACTTTGTAATTCTGTAGCTAACACTCTTCATAACAAAATACTTCTATGGTTAAACATGGAAGATAGATCAGGGAGGAAACTGTTTGATCTTAACTTCTCTGATCTTATTCCTGGTAGCTGTACTGCTGTAGCAGCAATGAAGCAGGAGCTGAAATCATCAGAGTATGTTGCAATATACTGAGATCCAGGAAGAGAGAAAACAAATCGGCTGACTCTTAGAGAGGTTCTTTCTTCCAGGTTCCATACAGTGTCCGTAAGTCTGAGAAACTTGTGGGGTGTTCCTCTAGGAAATTAGGCTAATCCATTGAAAATCTATTTTAAAATTAGAGATCTTACCTATATTTACAGACACATATAGACAAACATACAAAGACGATTAGTACCATGTCAGCGGACGTAGGGAGTGAGAGAGCACGGGAGTAAGGACCCTTGAGTGATATAGGATTTTCAAATTTTCTCAACAGTATTCATATAACTTCATTTTAGCCACCCTAGGCTACCAAGAGTCTATAATGAGAAACGTGCAATCCCGAAGAGTAATTACCTGACTCATTTTAGATGCTAATCTTAGGATGCAATGACTGTCCCTCTGATGGTAAATGTTTCTTTCTCCTAATCATGAAGTCGGGGTGACCAGCTTAAGCTTAGATATCTAACTTTAAGACATTTGAAGTTAAAGAACAATCCCACCCCAAATTTAAGGAAATATGAAGTTAAAGAGAAAAAAAAAAAAAGCTAAACTAAGCCTGCACGTCTGCTCCTTAGTACAAGAAAAATGGAGATATCTAGATGACAGATGTCTTGATAAGGACTTAAAACTCATAAAGGACACTTCACAATTCCATTCTTCCACATAGCTCTTCCACCCAATCAGCCCCAGACTGACTTGAGAGGATTTTCTCTATCCATATCCATTTTTTCTCACTCAGTAATATCCTTGGATGTCATTCCTACTTCTGAGACTTTGCCTCCTGTAGACTGCAGAGCCATTAACACATGCACATTGGCTTCACTAATCACAGTGATCTCAATTCAGCACAGCACATAAGCCAATACTTAAAGAATTACTTTAGTAGGCCTGAAGAGTCTTGATGAATTTTATCCAACAAGTTTTCAGGAGACCACAAAGGAAAAAAAAAAGTGGAGGAAATTATCTGACCTTAGCAACCTACAACATATATAGCTGCTGGTTTTACTCCAACAGTTGATCATTTAAAACTATGTAAAGAGATTAGAACTAGGTTAAAAAAAGGATTAAGCAATTTCAAAGCCATTCTATCATTTGCTAAATAATCAGAAAAATGTTCAACAAGTAAAATCCTTGTTAAAGAGATTCATGCCATCCAATAATTTCTTCATTGAAAATACCTTGCTAGTGCCAGAAAAATTCTAACCTGCCATAAAGTGCAAATAACTTCCTTCTGTTAAATTAGGGGATAAAGGCAAAAGAGTTATAATGGAGGCTAGTTCAACATTAAACCTAGTAATATGTTTCCACTATTTTTGGTTTAAAAAAAATTTCAATCACACGATTCTGCAAACTATAGACTAAACAAAAAAGCTTTAAGAATCTTTGTAATATACCAATATGAGTTCATTCAAACATTTGAATGGCACAGTATTTTAGCGTCAGAAATTACGTGGCAAGATTGTACAATAGAGAAGAAATAAAAGAATGAAATAAATTTCTTATTTGCTTAGTTCTAATGCAATCTTTAAAACAAGACTGACTGCTACCTCTGTGTTACTAATCTTACAGACACAAGGAGGGGAAAGCATTCCTAGAAAGACACCATACAGGATTTCTAGTGCAAGGTAGCATTACAGAATTTCTTAGTAAAATTCTAGTGTCCTTTGGTGGTCTGAACTCCCCTCCTCCTCTAGATTATCAAATTACAGTTACATGAGAATGAAGAAGCAATTAATAGTTGTGCATGCCAATCTTTCCAATTAGGAAAAATTTCTATTTAATATTCACCCCCCCCCCCCCCCCCCGCAATCTGTATCCAACAAATCTCAAGAAAATTAGAATTATGTTTTACTCTATGCATCATTGATCAGCATTTGGGAACTGGACTTAAAATAGCCTGATTCCTACACAGATATTCATAAATACTATTGTTTACTGCAAGCATATAACTGATTTTCTCCCAGCATGACTTACAAGCAGGTAAGAAAAGAACAAAGTGGTGCTAATCCCCAAAGTTTTCTGATTTCCTGCTGCTGTAATTTAAGCCACATTTTAAGAAGGCAGAACATGGGATCTTTGTTTCAAAAAAAATTGATTCACGTGACAAGTAAAATCTTTTTGTAAGATGGATCAGAAGGAGAGCATATAATCAACTAGAAGATCAACACTCCATTCACACTCATGGAAAGAACTGATCTAAAAAAACAACAGAGGCTTTAATGGAAATTACATAGCTATGCATTTGCAGGAATAAAAGACAAGTAATGGTTTACTGAAATGTAAAGGAAAGTCCAGTTCCTGGAGACATGTTGCACTCTTTCAAAAAAATTTATATCAACTTCATTCTTAAGGTGATGGGAAGATTATCAAAAACTTGAATAAATACAAATTCTAAAACCAGTATGATGCATACTGTTTTCCTGGAGCAAGTGCTAAATGAGCTAATTCAAATATCCTAGTCACAGTCATAAAACATGCTGCATCAGCTAATTCACTCTAATCCTCAGAGTAAGCTAATTAAATTCAAGGAGGAGGGTAGATGAGTTTGGAAGGCCCACATTATCCAAAATAGTTGGTTAAGCTGGCATAGCAGTCTCTACACAGTACAACACTGCAGTATACACCGCTTCCCCTGTCCCCTCCCCCTGCCCCCTCCAAAAAACAACCCCAGTACTACTACAGCTTCATAAACTCTTAAAATTATCTCTTAAACTACCTTAATGAGTTGTGTGAGTGAAGGCAGAAGTAGGGAAAATGGTTCGGCCCAAAATTTTTGTAAAGCCCAGTTACTGTCACCCTCTAGAGAAGGTTCACCATTTACTGGCTAAACAACACTTCCTTAGAAAAGCACCTTCCTTGTAGCTACATTCTCACTATCAAAATCTTAATTTATTGTAAACGCCGTAATTAAGTAAGTGTAGTGTTAAGCAGGTGAAGGGAAAAGACTTTTCCACTTCAGATTTTAAAAATTCAAATTCCATACGCATTCCATATGTGTTGTCTGTTTTTTGGGTTTCCTTTTTTTCCTAGGCATCTTATAGAGACAGTATGTGTGCATATAAAAAAGTTAAAGGAGTTGGCCAATGACTACCTTAATTTTTCAATAAACATATTTTATACCCAGGGGTCAATGGTATTGTGTGTGCAGAGTTACTTAAATTATCTTTAGTTAGATTGGCCTATCTGTAGTTATAGACTGTAAGGTTCAGAAGTGTGCCCTCTATTTTATTGGAAAGCATAAAAATAAAACAGTACAGCACAAGGCAGACAGGCAGTGAAATATGCTTCTGATTCCACTTATGACTTGAATAACTCATTTGCAATGTAAAATAAAGCCTTACTACCTTTTTGGCATTATCACAGACAAATGCTTCTTAAAACCCTGCAGAAAATCTTTACCATTTTATAGGCTTTGAAGAGCTTACACCACACCAGATAGAATCCAACGCTTGGAGTGACTGTGTTAAAGCACTATTATGTATCAAATTTCACTGGCTTTCAATAATTTGAAACATATTCAGCATTTTACACAATCAGATACAGGGGCAACACTTCCCTCTTGTTTCTTTCTGCAAACACTGTTTTCACACTGTGATCATCTTGGGACAAGAGCAAAAGTTACACCAGGGGAGGTTTAGATCGGATATTAGGAAAAATTTCTTCACAGAAAGGGTTATCCAACATTGGAACAGGCTGCCCAGGGAAGTGGTTGAAACATCACGCCTGGAGGTATTTAATAGACAGGTAGACGTGGTGCTGAGGGACACGGTTCAGTGGTGGTTTTGGCAGTGTTAGGCTGAGGGTTGGACTCAGTGATCTTAAAGGTCCCTTCCAACCTAGACAATTCTATGATTTATGATTCTATCATGACTTGGGGTTGGCTTGTTTGTGGTTTTTTTTGTTTTGATAAGAAAACAAACAAGGTTAAAGTAACACTGCTGAGAATATACATTTGATTTGCAACCCAGCCAGTCAATGGTTTTTGCCTTTTCCAAGCCAGGTGTGGTACACACTGACACTAAAGTTCTGGTGGACTTAAATGAAATTCATACATAGAGGGAGGACCTTGTATCTCAACTTTCATATAAAAACACTAGTCCTAAAAAGCGGTTTTAAAAACTGACTGCTGGAAACAATTTCTGCTGTATACCTACCATCTCTTCTCCATGGCATTGCTAAAGCTTTCCCCAAGCCAGCAACACTTCATGTCCAAGAAAACACAAAACCTTCCCAGACAAGAATGGAAAGTGCGAGATCCAAATTCAAATCCTGTAACTGCCACTTATTTCTTGTGTGACTAAACAAGCGTATCCATTTCCTCAGTTACCATTCTGTAAAGTCAGGAAATATACCCCTGACACCTCCCTAGCCTTTCTCCTACCTTGCCTGCTATTTATTTAGACAGTAAAGTCCCCAGCAGAGGGACCGTCTATCATGCACTTGCATAGCACTTTGCATAATGAGGTACCAATTTAAATTGGCGTAAGTGATGCCATGCTGCAAATAATACACAAACATGAAAGAGCAGAAAAAAGTGCTTTCAAGCATCAAAGGATATTTAATTAGTATCACATCTTCTCAAAACAAATAACATTTTAAGGTAGAATTTCTGACTTTGTTTATGGGTCCTACAGCACAAGGGAAAGAAGAAAAGTAATTATCAAAAGAAATAGCAGTCACCCCACTGCATGACCTCTGAGTACAAGTAAATCTATATGTATTTGTTTAATTTGTCTTAAAAGAAAAAGAGCATTACTTGAGAATCTTCCCAGCATTTGGCTGATCCTGTCCCCAGTAGTGAAGATCTAATCCAAAAGGCATGAGGGGAGCTTTAGCTCTTTCCTCTTCTAGTTTTCTTCTCTTACTGTCAGGCTCTTCCAAAGCTGCTGGCTCAGTAGTTGCAGAGTCACTGGAGAAAATTGATGCAAAGTCAATACAGAACAGCAATGATCAAAACAACATTTTCTCTTTTTTCATTAGATTTTCTCACCAACGCTAATATTATCTTAGATCTAGGACTACAACTACCTTTACAGGATTGTTCTTTTTTTTTTTTTTTTTCCCCAAAGGATACAGACCTTAACACCACATGCTATACATACAGCACACACTGAACCATGCAGCTTAACTGCACATCCAGCTAAAGCTAACTAAAACGTATTATACCATAAGCGTAGAAGCCCAGAGATCTAATGGGGGCAGTAGTGGATCATACATGCTGTACTGTAATGGGAGCTACTGATGTGGCAACTGTTTTTAGAAAGATCTTTTTTCTGTCAACTCATGCCCATGTTTGCATGGCAGTCACACAGATTGCAAAGTCTGGTTTTGTTGACAAAATTCCATCTTGCAGACTTACAATACTCATTGTACAATACCACTACAGAATTCAAAGTTCTCAAAAACCAGAGTACTACTATGGAGACCTTGGGTATTCACTAAGAGAGCTTCAAACGGTCTCAGTCACCTTACTGAAACACTAAAGTTTTAAAGATTAGAAGTCAAAAGGTACACCTGAATACTCCAAATGCCGGAGTTCTAATGAAGTAAACCCCTTTCTTAGATTACGTTACAGTTTGCTAGTTTTTTGGGGGGCTTTTTGGCCAATGCAGAAGTGCCTTTTCAGGAATATGCCACTACGTAGACTACTCAGTCTTATCCTGAAATCACAGATAAATGCTAGACAATTTCAGCAAGCTTTAAATAGGACTGACAACAAATACATCTTTGGAACCAGTAAAACATGCCTCCAAGCAGCACTGACAGCATAAGTCACTAGGAAGCAAAAGACGATTGAAACTACTTCCTAATTTAGCATTGGACATATTCTGTTTAGTTGCAAACCAAAAATTACTCCAATAATTGGGGATGGTTTTTTTTTTTTGTCAGGAGTAGAGGGAATGGAATGTTTTCTGGTTTCATAGAGGCCATTTACACCAAATAAAACCTACACCAAGTAAGCAGCAAAATATTCCTTAAGAGTCTGGTGCAATCACTAACAAAATCTCCAATATTAAGCAGTGAATGTACATCTTAGTAAAAGAACTGTAACTTGAAGATGAAACCAAGACAGCCTTAGCAACTTGCCTAGCTCATGAGCACTTTTCTGTGTGCTTTCATGACTAACAAATACAAGTAAGAGCAAGAGGTTTCTACAAGAATTAAAACAAAGATAACCTGGCATGTGGAGGTAGTAACTTTGGTAGTTTGTCTCTAATAATTTTCAATGTAGCAGCTGCACAGGTTGGATCAAGTTCGTCTTCATTCTGTTTCAGCTGGGTGCGGGAGCTCAGCGGAGCTGGTCCTGTTGACGTCTTCCCTGCTGGTGCTTTTGGAGGTGACTGTGGCTCTAGTCCTGCAAAAGAACTCCGTGTTTAGGAGGGATTCACTCTTCCCATCGTCAACGCTTCACAGCAGGGCCAAATAGCTCAGGATGCTGATTACCAAGTCTTCCTGCTTTGGATTCACGTTCAACATCCATCCCACTCACAGACAGAGCGGTATTCCTGCCTGTGAAATTTTTCTTGTTTTGGGACAGAAACATACTGAGTAACTAACTACAGTGAATCAACTTCTAAATTTGTATGACATGGTGCGATAACAAAGAATGATGTTACCTCACCTTGGAAAGAAGGATTTTAACAATACATTTTTGCCTAACCTGCAATACTGCTTTTTCTATGTACTTTTCTAGTATCATATCAGCTTGCTGGGATGTCGTTCCTGTACTCAAGGTTGTATCAAGGTAGAATAGAAGAAAAGAACTACTGGCACTACTGTTTAACACCTAGAGTCCCAAAAGAAATCCAAGAGCAGTCGAAAGCAAAAGGAAAGGCATACATCCATATCCTCCTGTGTGCTAAGATTAATTTTTTTTGGTGTTTCAGCGTAAAGTCCCGCTAAAACTCTTACAACCTGGCAAAGAGAAACCACTTCTGGGTGGGCGACTCACTGCAACAAATGACTGATGAGAACGGGAACCTTTGTCACCCAGCATGGCTGGCAGGGAAGCACACTCGGTGGAAAAACAAACTGTGTGTGAGGCACATCCCTGTTCTTTGATGACTCTCAGTGACAATATTGACCATTCAGAGCTGAGAATATAGACCAAAATAGCTCTTTTTCTTTTATTCGTGATTTGTTAAGGGGCAGCACTACTGAGAATAGTTGAGTTTCAATTCCTAAATACATCTGCAAACAGAATTATCTGGAGAACGTTCTTCTTTCACAGATACTAAAACAATTTACCAAGATAAAATATCTAAGCGCTGGCAGAAACAATAAGTATACCCACAGCATAAGCTCAAGAGACAATAAATGCCTGAGCTACACCTGAAGAACAAGCCCACTGCAAGGCAGTACCAGGCACTGATGTTCAGCACCAGCAGCTCAGTGGCGGGCAACTTAATTACTTTGTACAGCTAGATTAGACAGCCAGCACGGACTGTAATGATGCAATGAGATAGGCTGAGTAGTTAGACAGCACATGCCTCTACCCGCTGAGCTAGAGAAGCAACTCTATTAGCTGGCAGTAGTAACAAGAACTTTTCAGCCAATGACAGCTAAAAATGGAAAGACGTGATCCCTCACACTAACATAATAGACTACATTTTCCCCATCAGAAAGCCTTTTTATAAAAAGAAGTGACTAAAATGCAAGGCCACCCACCAAAAAAACCCCACCCTAATCAACACAAAAAAAGTCACAGTTTCACAAGACTAAAGTTTTAAGCAAATTATCTCAGCCTTTTTATGAAAAGCAACCTGAGTTTACCTGACATGTTGCAGCTATTATTTAATTGGGACTTTTAGTCTCTTACCTACTTCTAGCCAGCTCTGAAGCTGTATCCAGAAGTATTTTTGCTTTGCTAATTTGTTTTGCTAATCATTAAATGTATCACAAGATATCAGCTAAAAAAGGAAAAGCTAATGTAGTACGACCCGCCCTCTGAGTGGGAAATTGCAGGATCTGTAGTGGCAGGTAGCTTTGGTGCACAAAAAGTCTTAATTTCAGAGAAAAACATATTTTTCACAGACAAAATCAGAGCAACTTGCCCTGATGATTTCTTTCTAGCTTATAAGGTCTTCCTGTAATTCATCCTGACCTTGATTCATTTGTACCATGTAACCTTTGGGGTGCAACCACACAGAAGGCATTGCCTGACTTCAGCCACAGGTCAAGTTGCTGAGCTGGCAACCTTCTAGAGCCACCCCCTAGACAGATACAGGTCTAAACTTTCCAAGTACCTAGATCAGAAGATGAGTCCTTGCACAGGGAATGACATCTCCTCACGTTCCACGGCTCCAAGCTCAGAGCACTGAAAAGAGTACCCTCTCAACCCCCTGTTTAACCAAGTTCCCGGGCACTTTCTCCTAAGAGAGAGCTAACAATCCCAATTCAAAACCCACAAAGCTAGAGCCCCTCAGGAGAGGAGAAACAAAAGCAGACATCCAGGTGGATCTGGCTTGTGTGTGCGTAGCCTTTAAATGTTGCTGCATACAGCAAATCGTCACTTCAGTCATTCCTAGAACTTCTGAATACAACTGAGTCCAGAGGATAGAGAGCGCCCCAGAGCACTCTCAAGGATGAGGACTCTTCTAAGACCATGTCTGAGATTCCATGTCTCTATCTAGTATGGCTTATACTGGTAACAATGACAGAAAATGGCAAGGGCGAGGTGATTCAGAGTAGAGGCCAGTAACAACAACAGTGGCAGGTGGCCTACCTGCCCCTTTCAAAACAAGAAAAGGAAGGAAATGCGATCTGGAGAAGGAAAGAGGATGAGGGAGCACAAACCATCAGCAGTTAATAAGAATTCACAGAGACTTCTTAGTCTTCTCCTCACTCTCCCATGAAAGCTCAATACATTCCTTCTGCTTATCCAGTGTACGATAAAGAGCAATGTGGACCATTTAACAAGACAGTTGAGGCAAATATATCTGTGATTCAACTTGTGTGTGGTAATATTCTTCCATGTCCATAGAGAGACCAGATCCAGCTCTGGCAAGCTGATGCATTCTTCATTTCCTAAGAAAAGGCTACTTGAGCATTGTGTAAGCACACCATAGAAGTGAACACACATCTCAGAGTGGGTTTTTCAGTCCTGTGGCTGCCCTGAAAAGACTTCAGCACATACCCAACTGTCAGAACGTTCGCAGGCAGCAAGCATTGCAGAGTGGACAAAAAGACATTCACCATAGTTTGAAGACAGCGTCAAACACAGCTCTTCCCTTACTCCCTGTTCTGTTCTCTGGAAAACACCCCAAACCCAAAGCTCACATTCCTAAGGCAGTGTGTCCCGAAAGACAGTGCTGCTCGAGCTGTCCAATGCTTCCTGGGAATTGAAGTTAGCATGGACTGCGATGCAAAGAAGAATCGCTCCTTTTTAACTTTTATGTCCTCAGATTAGAGGTTAGAACCTGTCTACCAGCTGTGGACAGACACAGGCCATCTTGCCGTTGGCTGGCGATGCTGTTGCTGCTGAGCACGCCTGACACTACTGCTCCCTTACTCAGTCATGCTCACATCAGATACTCCAATGAAAGCGATGAACATGCTGCATTCACCTTGTTATCTAACTTCCCGTCCCAAAGTCAACAAGGCTTTAAAGAACACTGTTTAAAATATTCACTTAAAGGACTAATTTTTGCATTGGAAAAGGGTCTCAAAATCAGCAGAAGGAACAGCAATAAGGGAAATTATAATTAAGCGTAATAGGATGGAACTAAGTGGAGAAACATTCAGGCTACATAGCAAAAGAAATATTCTCATGACATTTATTAGGCTGTGGACTTGCCATTCAAGAGGGATAATGATGCCTCCACAAAAATGTTTTTTAAACAGCACTTCAGTGAAATATTAAGGGAGCATTATTGAATTTATTTATCTGGAAAAGGGGGTAGGATAGGACTCCTTCTCAGCTCCTGCCACAGGCTAGAAAGGGAAAAACCCCTTCTCAGGTGCTTTGTATCAAAGTGAAACAGAATAAACCCATCCTTTTATTACAGAAACAGTTACAAACAGGCCCTTTGGCATGAACAAGGTTGGCTGAGAAAAATATTTGATAGACTGTATCTGTAATGTAGAATCGCTTAGACTGGGTTTAGCATTTACAATGGCCTTTTTTCCCCTCTCTCCTTTATTTATTTTTTTTTTAAGGACAAGAATACCTTTCTGAAAAGCACTGTTGAAAGCAACAGTTTTGAGAGCACTTGTACGTGTACTACTTACAAACTGTCTCCAAGTCAGAAGGTAGCAGGTATGTATCTCACCATACCTTTTTCTTCCCTCTTCAGAAAGAATATGTGCATAGGTATTAAACGTTCTCAGGAAATCCAAGTTTTATTCCAATTTTTCCTACGATGTTTATGGAAAGCATGATTGCTTGTTCACTACACTGATTTTTTTAGGGGGGGGGGGGGGGAGAGAAGGGAAACAGCAGAGACAAGCAGTCAGCAACACACAGAGAAGGCAAGAGAGATAAACGGACAATGTGACATTTAGATAGATAAAATCACATCCAAAAGATCAATATAGGAATTCTTAAGAGTTACAAGAACAAAATATTTTCCCATTGATTTCTTATTTTAAACCATTAACAGAAAAATCGCTACAGGCAAATACACTATGGCATCAGTAACACCACCTCTACTGTGGATTTAAAAAAAAATAATTTGTTTATAAAATTAGTTTTTGCTAACACGATAAAGACAAGAGTCAACACACAGACAGCCCTAGCTGAATGGTAACCAATGTCAGGGTGGGGTTTTTTTGTTTCATTTTTAAGGCATAGATGGGATTAAGTGCAGTTTTAAAAGTAGAATTTCTCTTAACAATTCTGCCATTCTGTTTATTTTATTTAACACAGGTACAGTAACTGGGTTCAAATTGTTCCAATTGCAGCTTTTAGAAAGAATCATAAAAATGTTCAAATCCCCTTTTTTGTTTAAATAGACCAAATGGCACCTATTTGCCTGAAGCAATAAAGTAGACCGTGTTCACGAGATAAATCGATAGAAGGAAAGAGAGAGGCTGGGGTTTCAGCTGAAGTTAGGCTGCTGAATGCTGACATTATTGATTTTAGCTAGTTCAGCTGGCCTTGTAATTAAAATGTAAATTTGAGAAAGAGATTATGTCCTGACAGAAATGGTGGGATTAGGGGGAGATAAAAGCCCCACAGTGAAAATTCAGAGAAAGAGCAAGCACAGGTTTCCTCAGCTGTGTGGATTTAGACGAAATCTAGCTACTTCAGATTCACTTACGTTTAATTGAAAAAACGAAGACAGAATATAAACAAGTGTTACGGACTTCAACCTTCCTGGAAAAAAAAAAAACTATTTTTGTTTCCTATTTATT